AATGTTGGAATAGCGACTGTTCGAGAAATATGGAAGAATAATACCTACATATTACATCGACCACAAATATAATCGGACATGGAAACATATGATGATAAACTAGCTGTGATCCCGTAACTTTGGCCGCGTAAATTACGATGTAGCATCCCGTAGTTGAGAGATTTTTTGAAATTGGTCCAATAATATAGTAATATACTATAGTTCTTTTTATAATATAAGTCTATAGAAGACTTTTAAGTTGCGTTCTATTCGTTACTATAAGTAACCTTGTTCAATATTTATTTCATTCAATTTTTAGTGAACGTTTAACGTTAGCAAGATTTCATTTATTTTAATTTTAAGCACATTTTTTTAGCAAACTGTAAATCAGAAAAGAGGTTCTAAATTAATACTTCTTGGTTGATTGTACCGACTTCGAACTTTTTAAATCATAGAGTACACATTTATGGTGGTTCCATAAAAAATATCGGAATTTGATTAGTTGTTTTAATGTTAAAACTGGCTGTTTCCCGTGACTTTGTTTGCATAAAATGTGGTCTATGTTACCCGTGTATAATGTAGCTACCGGTAGATAAATTAAAAAATTAAAAACAGTTCAGTAGTTTCGGAGAATTTTCGCTGCAAACAAACAAACAATTAAATCTTTCTTCTTTATAATATTAGTATAGATAACTGGAAAGATTATTTCATATAATATATAAATTTAATTTTAACAAGATTTCCGTTATAAAAAAATTAATGAAAGTTGTCTTTGATTCATATTAACATGTATTTTTCAGATATAAATAAAACTGATATAATAATAACCATAGTGTAAATTATGTAAGTAATTGGATGATTTTAGTATTTTAAATGAAAATTTGTGAGTAACAGTGCAGTGACGTTAATCCTTCAAGGATTACCAGGAATGTAGGTTATATTTGGTTTTATTAATAAATTCGAAGTGACACGTGTTTTGTAATTTTAAAAGGAAATTACCTTCATAAAATAAAAAGCTTCAATAAAATGACTTAACCCCAAATTGGGCCACATTCGTCATCGCCTCATTCATATGAGATTGGAAGAATGTTTATGGCACGATTTTTAAAATGAACTGAAGTCTGGCTTTAGTTCTTTATATTACTATGTCATCCATAAAAGGGTTGAGTGAAGCTTTATTGGATTTAGGGACAAATCTCCAATTTATGGTTTAAAACTCTAAAATGATATTCTATCACAACTTAAAAAAATATAAACAAAAATTTTGTACTCTGATATCGTCGGTGTTTATAAAAGTTTTCGTTACACTCTATCGGGTTAGTTTCAGTTCACAGCTAAAGTAAATTTACGCTAAGATTACATTTTGCTTTACTATAATTTTTTTATTATTATATAGAAGTTAAGCAAACCTATTACCATTTAAGAGTGGATATGTTACGCCCGTATTAACCTCGTATTAGCTTGAACTTTGCTTCGTCTCTAATAATATGAATTTTGACTTAGTTTAATCACATCTATAATGTGTAAATTAATTCCAATGCTATTTGGTAACGAAATTTATATAAAAGGCGCAATAGGTAATATTTTTACCTATTGCGCCTTTTACAGTCGAGTGATAATCATGAAATTAAGAGTTATATTATAATATTTACTCGTATAATCGTTTTAAAAAATATTTAGAGACACTTTGGTGTTTAGTTCGGCGTGCAAACCACTCAATTTTACAAGATCATTCAAAGATCAAGATCATAAAATGTAAATTTGATAATGGTTCTAAAAGCGGTTGCTTATTTTTTAAGACCAATAAAAATTAAATTAGTTTTAGATGCGTTTTGCGTAATCTATAAAAGTGTAAACAATTTTGTACTGATTCTACAATCACATGAATTGTAAAGATGGTATACACATTTTACCCTTTTTGCTATAAAAACTATGATATTGATTTAATATTTAAACGATCAAATAATGAAGTGTGATAATATTAATCGATTAAATGAAACAAGTTTGCTTTCACAATAATTACTGGTGTTTGTGCGCATCTATCCTTGACACCCCAAAGTTAATAATTAATCATACTTTTGGACGATTAAAAGGAATGTGGGTTTCATTTAACGGTTTACATCATTTTGATTAAGGTCAATTTTGTAACAAAGTAATGGTTATTTTTGTTTAGAAATTTATTTTAAGAAACCTACCGAATTGTCCTTCACTAATTTAGTGGAATTGATGCTTCATTGCTGCGACACAGGATATTGTACACATATATTCCCTATGATGGGTATAGTATTTGGTCACCCATCACAGAAAAAGCGCAGACTACTACGTCTTCGACCTTATTAACGAACGGTTGGTAGGAAAAAGAGACGGATCACCTCATTTATTTATAAGTAAATTAAAGTAGTCTCCCATATTTTTTTACGTTTACTAATATAATTTCAATTGGATCGAAGCACTTTGAACCATCAATATCGATAAATGAATTTCTGAAATTGATATGTATTTTAGTTTTCATAAGACGTCTTAAACCCAAGTGAGTTTGAGGACTTCACATGCCACAGTATTAAATAAAATCGGGCAGAATGCCGAATGGATATTTGCATAAAGCTATCAAACCCTCTAGATCCACTTAGTATTTTTTTTTAATTCCTACTACGTTGGCTCTCGCTTTTATAATGAAAAAGTTTTTTAAAAGTGAAAATTATGTACAAATAAATTAAGGTCGTTAATATCTTACCAATATTTCTGTGATCTTTAGTTTACATTAACAGTGGTTAAAATTTCGGAACATAACCAGTTTTATTATAGATATTATAGATGGTTATGAAACTTACAGATAAGTAAGATCATCGCTATAATTGCGTTCTGTCAATTCGATATTACAAGCGCACATCGATATTTTAATTTAAACAACATCCAACACCGCCAGTATATATTTATAGATTGATTATAGACTTTGTCGTATTGATATTTGAATTCGAAATCGGTTGTGGAGACTGGTAATCTTGTGTATTAACCTGATGTACTGTTTTGTGTGCATATCTCACGCGTTATTTACGGCGAAGATTGCTCGATTGTCCATCGATTATTAAAAAGAAAACTGCCGATATCATTATCGAGTCGTCAGCGTACGCAACGATTCGATTGAGCGATTCGCAAATCGATCGAGCTAGTGTTGTGCAAGATTACTAACCAAAGATAAGATATCGGAACGCCTTTTAGTGATAGTTTTTGGTTATTTGTTTACGATCTCTTGTGTTTATTGCTCAATGCGAGTAATGTTTGTGTTTTTTTAAAGGTAATGAATTGTTTGTAGCCATTATCATTGATTGATCAACCTTTCTAAAACATCAATCCTAAACTATTACAAAAATAATAAAAAATAAGCATTTGTTTTTTAAGTACATAAATAGATTTTTATAAAATTAAGTTTTGTATAATCTGTATATTCGATTCGAGTTTTTATTTTTTGAAATAAACTACCAATCGACAAACAGATTGCAGATTTGCAGTACCTGTTGAAAATTGACAAATACCTTTTTAGGAACAGTTTAAGAAACAATTTCGGTAATCCGAATTAGGGTTAGTATTATATATTCGGTGTCTTTTCACTATGATTATTTAAATTGTGTAGTGCAGTAGTTAGTTTCTCAGCACGCTCGGCGATTTTTACATGATAACCCTGCGATTTCTCGCTGTGCCTAGTTCCATTACCCGTTATGTAGTTTCCATGGGAAAATACAACATCGATGACTGAACTAACAAGCAAACAAAATCATCATTATCATTTGAGTGATAACTTAAATAAATATATCGTATGCGCCATTCAGTCTCATATTAATCAGAACTTGTATGATTACTATTTCTGATAAATGTTGTATTCGTGTGTTTAACCGAAGATAACAAATTGGTTAATGTGTGTAAAGCTAATGAGTGATATTTGGTTGATAGCCTGAAGTGTAACAGTTCTATTTTGTAAAAAATTTAGCGTTGAACGCAGCGACAAAGACATCGCTGTGACAACATTAGAGGTACGATGAAATAAAACGTACCTCAAGAGGTAATTAACAGAATAGCAAAGCTGGTGTGCAAAATTCGGTAAATCTTAATTTAATCATAAACCAAACGTGGTCTGTTTTTGACAGATGTTATTCTAGAAAAGAATTGTCAACAAACCACGGGTTGACTTTGTCCAGAAGCGGGAATTAGGAAAACTTCAAAGTTCTTATTAAAATCATATTCATAATGAATCAGAGGCAGTCTAGAGCAGTCCTACCCCCATTGCACCATTTTAACGAAACATCTATTTTCCAGCGGCTTCGCCCACTTAAATTGTGAACTGCGCATGACGTAGCTTTCCGAAGATAAAGAATTTATAATCGGTTCAGTTTTACCTGAGCCTATTCAATGCAAAGAAACAATCAAATCTTACCTCTTTACAATATTAGTTAAGAGACGACTCTAAAGATAAAAGCAACTACGAATTAGCTTTAAGAATTCGGTCTTCAGATTCCCTATAAAAATGACATTCAAATTTAAAAGTTTATTTATAGATTCGAAATTTTTTCTCTTCCTCGTACTCTCAGCTGATGAATTGTGTTAATTATTTAATTGGCTGTAAAGTGAATCAAATGACACTGCTTTATTGCACACAATTGAGATTGACACAGCTGCTATATACACTTGACACTGAATGATGATAGTCTAGGTTCTAGATCGTGCCTGTTTTTTTGTTAATACCTATTAAATTTTTTGTGCGAGTAATGAAAATTGTCATCAGTCTATTCTGGAATACGAAAAATAGAATATTGGAATACACTCCCTGGCATCTCTTTCTTTTAATTTAGTATCTCAATTTACCAATCAAAACTTTCAATTTTGCCAAAAAAAAATATATATACAATATTTCTATGTGATAATGTGTTAATAAATTAGACCTAGTCTTTTTGCAGAGTCCAAATTGAGGTAGAGTTTATTTTTTGTTGCAGAAATAGTAATGTCCATCTGACCACCGAAACACCAAGATGGCGTGTGCCGGCGCAGTTCTCTTGGAGGCGCGGCCGTTCAGGCCCTTCAAGTCCTCAGAGGAGTATCTGTATGCCATGAAGGAGGACCTGGCTGAGTGGCTGACCATACTCTACCCAGAATTGAGGATCAATGCTGATAATTTCTTGGATAGACTCGATACCGGGGTCGCTTTATGCAGGGTAAGTTTCTTTTTCTTACTGATTTAAATTTGTTTCTAACACGATTTATTTTATAAGTGATTATTCTCTAATAAATAATAAAGCAATATGCAAGTATCATTTGTATAAAAATAGACTGTTATTACATATTTGGCATTTTGGTAAATTTTAATTAGACATTTGCGATCTTGTAATTAAATGAACTATATTGAAGTGAAAGGAAAGCTTGGAATCGGTCAACTGGTTTTTTTCAGCAAAATTAGTATTAGTCAACCGGTAAAATGAGTTTTAATGCGCTCTTTACTTTGGAAAAGGCTGGTAATATATCACTATTTGAACTAATTAGTGATATTGTCGGGGATAGTGCAATATCGTGTAACTATCAATCAATGAAGAGCTAGTTTTGCATGTATTGTAATACTATTATTTAAAATAAGCTCTTAATGGCAAGTATACACTGTATTGGACTAGCCTCGACTATAAAGAAATCGATACATTATTTAGGACGTGTGTATTTATAATATTAACATAATAAAGCAGCATAATTAAGGGAATGCGTTTCAAACTTATCTTTTTAAAAGCTTTTATTTAACAGCAATATACGTAATTATGTTTGTTCGAGTGGAATCTTCGAATTCAATTTTGAAGTAGATATCTTCAATCGATTGAGTTGAAATTTTGTATACACGTTTAGTAAATTTTGTATTCTAATATGGCGGACCATTTGAGAAGGCGGAATAGTTATTTTTAATGTAAAAACAGAAAATCAAAATCAAAATTATTAATTCAGTCTAGGCTGTTACAAGCACTTGTGAAAGTCGAGAATTTTTATTCCACTTCTACAATATGGGTATCGAATGAAAGGGCTTGTTGAGAGTAACTTGAAAAAGAATTTGACGTTTTTCTAAATCCGATATGGCGGAATAGTTATTATTTATGCACTTCTGTAATGTGGGTATCAAATGAAAGGGCTTGTCGAGAATAATTAGAAAAATATTGTGACATCACTTTAAATCCAAAAGGTATAGCTGAATATTAAAGTTTTCATGCTTTAAAAAAATATCGAAATTAACTGGCAAACGATCTTGCAACTATGATGCGTTGAATGAGATGAACAAAGTGAGGAACCTAGCCAGCGATAACTAAAAAGTAAAAAATAAATTAAAAGCAAAAAAAACTTTAAATGTCTTTTATTTAAACGCTCTTAAAAGAAGAAAATTTAATTTTCCTTTTAAAATTTAACTACCAACTTATAACCTAATTATACACAATTTATGTGATCATAAAAGCTTGTCGCGAGGTTTAAGTTCCTAAATTAAATTTAAATTTAAAAATTAAATTGATCATATTTTACAAAATGGAATTGGTACTTATTTATTTACACAAGTAAATCCCGCGACAAGTTTTTATTAACATATGAATTGTGTATACTTAAAGAGGTTATAATGAGGAAGTTTAAATTGAAAAGGAAAATTTTATTTTCTACTTTTAGGGCGTTTAAATAAAGCTTTTTTTAAGTTTTATTTACTTTACATATTTATATGTTAATTCTACTGATTTGTATGCTAGATCTCAATGTTTCTACTTAGTTATATTTAAAATCACATCATGCTATACAAAAGGTTTAATTCTCATCTAAATTTATTACAGAAATATAGAATTTTGTAGTAACATCACTTTCTGGCGCTTCTATATTTAATGAGCCTGTAATGAACAATAAAGCGATTATTTTTAAACGAATGGCAGGCAGTTTGTCACTATTTAAACCAATAAGTGACATAAATATCGATGCACTGTTTAAGTTTGCTGAGTGACTTGAAATTTATTTGGATCTTCTAAACTGTGGATCGTTAGATCTTTTTAAATAAATATTATTAAACTAAATTTAATATTATGAACATTGTGTTTTGATTAGATTGTCATATCATAACGTTATCGATAGAGGCCAACAATATTTAATGATAGTGTATTGAGTGTTTATAAGTGAATTTAATATACATCTATCTATATACATTTTTTACTAAATCCATTGAGTAAGGAACATAAACAGGATGAATAAGGAAAAAAATATGCGTAGGATAAGACGTCATAGGATGAATACGGAACAACCCAATCTAGCGCTACAAGGCTCATTTTCGTTAGTTTTTTTTTAATAAATAAGCAATGTAAAACAGTTTACATAAAATATAAGTGTTCATTATATTTTCACGTATTTTAGAATTAAATTAAATTATGTTAATTAAGATTTATCGCACAATGGTTGAATCATTTTTTTTTCATAAATTGAATTTGCACAATAGTTTCAATGTCATTTTTAAACTGTACCTAATCGAGTAACTTTTCTATTATATTAATGAAGGTTTTCGTTTCGTCACCCATAAAAATTGTGAAACAAAAACTAACCGAATTGGAAACAACGGGTAATTTAATTATTGTAATTCTAATCAAAAGATAATCAGTGAGATAACTCAACGAAAGATATATATCAAGAAAATTAATTGAATACAAGAGTATAATGAACGTCAATTCTGACAAAATGATTATCTGATTATTTATAGCAAGGTAATTTTAGGTAATATAAGGTATTAGGTAATGTTGATGAATAGAAATTCGCTATCCGGGTTTAGTATGGATATCTGCAAAAGCAGTCGGGACTATGGGCAGAAGAGGTGTTAAAGATGTTATAGATTCTTGGTTACCTACTACTGATTAGCCTTTGTGATAGTCATTTAATTTTAATATTAGGTCCTTACATATGAAAATTGGTGTTTGGTACATTTCAAGCTTTTTCATCTTTCCGATATGCTTCAAGTGGATTAAAACAGTTCTATCACTAACAGTGCAGCCTGCAGCTAACTCAGACGTGGTTTGCGATGGATCCGCTTTCACAGTAGCCTTCAATTCTTCATTTGGGTCTCCGGCCATCCACGGGGCTTGTTTTGCAGGTCGAAATTTTCAGAACGAAAACGTTGGAATTAAAAACGCACTGTGTTTTCTTTTGTGACATAACCGCTATATACATCATTAACTCTTCGAGTCGTTTCCGCAGAATTGGTACTACGTTGGAACTCGTGCTCGTAAATAACACAATATTTCAACTTTTAAATTTTTATATTGATTGACGTAAATAGGACAAACAGAAGAAAAAAACAAATGAATGCCGCCTTACGAAACACAAATACATGTGTAAAATGGCTGAATAAATTTGAATTTGGAATTCCCAACCAAGGAGCAAAAATTTGTGATGTGTGGTCAGTACGACAAAATACCAATTTAATTGGTAAGCACCTATTATAAATGATTACCTAATTAATGCAAGTCGTTTTCCGTTTTTGTTATTTTCTGTTTTGACGCGATTTTCTGTATAATATGACGAGAAATATTATAATTCTGGTTATCTTTTTACATCTATAACTATATTCATCCCATGGAAAAAGAAAGAATTTTCATTATCAGATCAACATTTCCGAAGGTTTCCCCCTATAAACAAACAAAGGTAGAAATGTTACCTCTATTAAATATCACTATGAATATACGGTTATGAAATGGACATAATCGACTAGGCACCGAACGGTCGTTATGGCAACACCAGTGAGTTTAAAATTCATAGTCTCATAGACTTTTGTTTGAACTAACAAAAAAAAAATAACTAAATTGCATATTCACCCAAAACTGATTATGTAAAGACATTCTAAGCGGCCTTATGTCGCAACGGCTATTAAGCCTTGGTCTTGTGTTGCAATCGGCAAACGCATCCATCGAATTTCGCAAAAAAAAGAGCCTGCTAAATTTCCGTCGGGATGGATGGACGAACGGACACGGACGGACGCGTCTCTGGGTTGTATAGGCGGCCTCTGACGCGCTCGTCCGGAACCTGGTACATGTCGTTACTTAGTTTAAACATGGAATTACTTCTGAATGTTTTGGGTTATGATGATAATTTTGTAATAATTAGTAAGTTTTATTTCAATAAAAGTTAAACTCAGCTGCGATGTGACGGTTTTCGTGGGAACTTCAAAAATAAAAAGTAGCTGTATGTACTCTTATCTATATTAATATTATAAAGGAAAAAGATTTAATTGTTTGTTTGCGGCGAATTGGCTCTGAAACTACAGGAACTTTCTTAATAACTCTGTCACAGAAAGCTGCATCATATGTGGGTGTTATAGACTATATATAATTTACGCCGGCGAAGTTGCAGCAAGGAGGACATCTAGTATACTAATTTTTTTTTAGTAAAATGGTTCAATTGTTTTGCTAATTAATTCATTTCTATTAAACAATTCACCATTTACTTTAAATTTTTTTATTGTTTTATACTACATATTGACTTACTGCCGGTTTCTGAATTGAGAAAAGCACAAAATCTCAACTGATTATTTTCAATTATTTAAGCTTTTTACGTTTTATATGGCAAAAAGTCCTAGTTTTATCAAATCGATAACTTCTAATTCTCAATTCAGAAGCCGGGTGTATCTATACTCTAAAAACTGATTTTCCTCTTTGCCGCAACTCCGCCGGTATATACATATAAACTATATGTACATATTGACAGATTATTATCTAACCTGCTATTTTATGCCAGAAGTCTTGGACTGACAATGTTTTAACACACCAAGTCAAGATAAGAAATTAATTTCATTTTAAAATTAAAACTTTTATTATAACTATTGACTGTCAATTATACTATGTCGTGCAAGTTAAGCGATATGTCAGATTAGTGTAACCCATGTTTTACAGGTTAAAATCTCGATTGCGTAACAGTATGGTAATTTGAAACACCTCGAGCTAGCCAGATATTCAACTTTATGACTGTCTTGGTTATATTCAATTATATTTTCATAAGAACGCAGATCCAATAAGTTTGTTCGCAGCCGTTTTATCACATTTTTTTGAATAGAAATGTATGGTAAATAGAACTATTGGCGTTGGAGTTTTAATTCATAGAACTCTTAAGAGTTGATTGTTTTTAAGAACTAAATTAATTAGTGCCGCTATCCCTCATATTTGCTTAAAAGTAT